ATCCACTTTGGTCTTCTCTTCTTTTCTTGTCTTTTTAGTGATCTCTTGCTTTCTTCATGGATAATGTTCTTGATATCTTCCCATGATTCATCTGGCTTTCCGTCGTTGGTGTTTAATGCATCAAATCTATTCTTTAGATGATCTCTAAATTCAGGAGGGATATATTCAAGATCATACTTTGGCTCTCTTGAACTTGTTTTAATTGTCATCTCTTGCTTTCTTCATGGATAATGTTCTTGATATCTTCCCATTATTCATCTGGCTTTCCGTCGTTGGTGTTTAATGCATCAAATCTATTCTTTAGATGATCTCTAAATTCAGGAGGAATATATTCAAGATCATACTTTGGCTCTCCTGGACTTGTTTCCACAGGGAATGAAATTAATTGCTATCAAATGAGAAGTAAAAATAACATTGTTGGCTGCTGTCAAGTCAGGCCTCGACTCATGGCAACCCCGTACACAGTGGGATTGGACCTCTGTGATCCACAGGGTTTCATTGGCTGATTGCACAAGTAGATTGCCAGGACTTTCTGCCAGAGATAACGTTGGCTGCTGTTGATTAAGCATTTACTGAGGGCCCAACTGCTATGCTAAGCACTTTACAAACATCTCAGTCTGTAAGCCCCATGAGGGAAGTCTAAGGGCATTACGTTTGTTAGCTCAAAGTGATACAGTGTGTTCTCTGAACCACTGCACCCTGCTGCCTGGAGAGGCACGAGGACTGTGCAAGTACAAATGGGGGGCCTCTGAACTGCTTAAGGGTGTCAGGAGGTGGAAAAGGTTCCAGTCTGTCTGTTGAAGAGGAAGTGTTAGGGCAGGAAGGGTATTCTGCACAAAGATAATAGCTGAGGTAAAGGCATGGGGATAAGAGACTGATGACAGTCTGAACTGATAACTAAAAGCAATGAATAACCAGAAACAGGTAGGAAGTAAGCCTGGGAGGAGAGGAGACTGGAGAAGTTGGTAGGACCAACCCATGGAGGAGCTAGAATGCTGTTCTCCTTGGAATAAAAAGTTGTGTCCTATGGTCACCCCTACCTATTCCAGCAGTCCTTTTATTCCCCTGCCTGGCTATACTTCCCACCCCCCACCCCACCCCAGTAGCTTAGTGGAGCTACACCCACTGCAGTAGAGGCCCTGAGATGGCTGCACAGCTGATTCTGCTGGAGGAAGCCATACCGTACCGGCTGTCAGATCACCAGGCCACTGGAGGGCATGGAGCACGGCGACAGGGCTGATGGTACTGACGCCTCCTCTCTGCCCCTGTCTGTTCCAGGCATCCTGAGTATGATCATCATCCGGACCCTCAGGAAAGACATTGCCAACTATAACAAGGAGGATGACATTGTACGAGGTCTTGGCTGGGACGGGAGGGACTGGGAGACAGGGCAGTTCAGTGAGGAAGGACTTGCAAAGTAGCACAGATTTTTTTATTATTTTTTTTTATACTAATTGTTGGCAACGTTAACATGAAACAAGCCCTTTTACCTACCACCCATGACAGCGTAAACTGTTCTCTGAAAAGCAATTGGCAGCACACATCAAGAACTGTAAGATAGTTGACTTCCTCTGACAGTATGACTCTTCTAGAATTTTTCCTGAGAAACAAAAACTCACACCTCAGACTTGGTCTGCAAATGTTTATTGCAGTTTCTTTTATAATTGAAAGTAACTAGATGTAGCCTGATTTTCCTGCAACAGAAGAGAGGTTACATATGGCTTGTTTTGGTTCTCTAGTGCTGCTCTAACAGAAAATACAAGTGGATGGCTTCAATAAACAGAAGTTTATTCTCTTACGATTTAGGAGGCTAGAAGTCCGGGTTCCAAGTGCCAGCTCTAGGGGCTGGGTGAAGGCCCCTTGACCTTGGGCTTCAGCTCTGCCTCTTGCTCCCAGTCCACTGAAGCTGGAGGCTTCTTGTAACTCAAGCAGCTGCTGGCTGCTGAGGCTGACAAATCCAGAGTTGACAAGTAAAATGGCATAGTCCCAAGATTATTAAACAACACTACACGTCACTAGTTCAAGTCCAGAAATAGTCTCAAGATCAGCAGACAACATGACAGGCTGTTGAATGAAGACTGAGCTAAATGCTGGGTCCAAGCATGCCAAAAAGCTCAGAGAACTTTCTCAAGCATTCTCTTTATATACTCGGAGCAGACCGCATCCCTAAGGCAGCTACACAGCTGCTCACAGTAGATTCCACCATAGAGTTGATGACCAGTCTCATCATGGGGAATAACTACATCAAGCTGCCCAGCCACTCAAAACCAGGCCCAGCCAGGTTGACACACAACGTAACTTTCACACAGCTCTACAATGAAAAATTGTGCAGACATTAAAATAGTATTTTCAAAGACTGTTGACATAAAGAAATACAGCCAAATACCAACTGAAAATGACAGAATGCAGACTAAATATAATATGTCTCTGTTACATCATTTCCAAATTGTATACATACACACACTTGTACATACATAAAAGACTAAAGCAAACATATCAGAACTGTGGTGTCATTAATTTGGTAGGAGTAGAAATCAGTTTCTTTTTTATATTTTATCTTTTTAAAGATTTTCCATAATAAACATTTATTGTTTTTTGTTCGTTTGAATTTCACTACACTAAAAACAAATTTTTTACTTTTCTTTTATTCTACAAGTGAAAACACATTACTTTCCTAATCAGAAAAAAAATTGTTTCTAAATCTCCCACCCAACTACGATGCCAGCTAATGTTTTAGTGTATGGACGTATGTTACTTCTTCCCATGCATTAGGTTTGTGGGATTTGGGGAGGAGATTGTGTTTCTACTGAGCAGTAACCATCATGTATGTTCCTTCCTACCCCATATGACACTTTTCTGAGGAGCACTTTCTCATATCAGTGACACACCTGTGTTTTCACTGTTCAGAGGGCCTGCTTGAACCCTGAGGGACCTTTAGCCCTGCTCAGGAGACCTAGGCCTCAGGGGGTGGTCCCTGAAGGACTTGATTGCTCCCCTAAGAACCACACTCACCCTGGCCCTTTACTACAGGAAGACACCATGGAAGAGTCAGGCTGGAAGCTGGTGCACGGTGACGTCTTCAGACCACCCCAGTACCCCATGATTCTCAGCTCCCTGCTGGGCTCAGGCATTCAGCTCTTCTGTATGATCCTCATTGTCATCTGTGAGTGTGCCTGGCAGGGCGGGTGTTGGTTGTCATGAGAGGAGCACAGGGCCTGGAGAGCAGGGTGGCCTTCTCTCCCTGGAGAAGGGGGCCAAGCACTTGGTACCGGGTGGCATCTCAGCATTCCTGGGTCAGGCAGAGGCATCCATCCTAGCAAAAGGCCTAGAGCCTCCCAGCCCTAGGCCCTTGTCAAAGCTTTACAGCCCTGTGTACAGAGCCCGTAACACCTCTACTGTGTCATTGAAGCCACATGTCAGCACTGTGAGGTTAGCCTTCTTTTGCAGTTGAGCAGTTGGAAATGGCATCAGAGGTTAAGTGACCCACCCAAAAAGTCTTACGTAGCTAGTCAGTACCAGGGTTAGGACTAGAATCCAGTCTTTTTCCTAAACAAAAGTTTAGTTAGTTACAGACAGCTCTGGAGTCAGTCTACGTAGATTTACATCTGGGCCTGAGGACTCTAAGCTCTGGGACCTCAGACAAGACATTTGCTTCTGCAAGCCTCAGTTTCCTTGTCTGAAAAAAAGGGAAGGTAGCCTCTACTTTGCAGTAAGTTAGCATCTGCAGTGTTCTTCGTCCAGTGCCTGGCTTGTCACAGTGCCTGCAGGCTGGCAACTGCAAGTAAGAGTAGAATGGCCAAGGCTTAGGAGCTGCTGCACCCCTCTGACTCCCAGTGAAGACCCAGCCTTCTCTAGGGGAGAAAGGGACTGTGCAGTTAAGAAGGCCATGGTCAGAAAGGACCCTGCCAGTCAGTCTAGGATGGAGGTTGGGAGTAGAGGCCTGGTGACCAGCCACCCTGACTTGCCCCTGCTTCCCTCCCTCCACAGTTGTCGCCATGCTTGGCATGCTGTCGCCCTCCAGCCGGGGTGCTCTCATGACCACGGCCTGCTTCCTCTTCATGTTCATGGGGTAGGTATGACTGTGCGGGCCCTGGGGGCTAGCACAGGCCTCCTTCCCTCTAGCTAACAGGTCCCTGTGGTGTGAATCTCTCCTATTTTCCTACAGGGTGTTTGGTGGTTTTTCTGCTGGCCGTCTGTACCGCACTCTAAAAGGCCACCGGTGGAAGAAAGGAGCCTTCTGTGTAAGTATCCTAAATTCCCCCTGGCATTTGGTGGAGAGCCAAGAAGCTTCTTCCTGGGCAGAGGCCATTGGTCCAGGAATCAGAGCAGCTCAGGCAGAGACGGGTTCTGGGGGGTTTCAGCATCAGAGATGCACCAGCAGTGTGATGTGGCTGGCAGGGGGGTCAGACGCTGGGCTCTTACCCACAGGCTTGCAGAGAAACCTCATAGGCTCCTCAGTACCCCAACTATGAAAGAAAAGGATTGAATATAGATGATTTTTAGCCTACATTGTTCAGTGGCTCAAGCAAAGGAAGAAATAGAGGCTTTAGGATGACAGAAATTGTCACCAGATAACAAACTTTAGGGTCAAAAACTGATCAGCAAGGCTGCTGGGAGAATGCTCTGCTCGACGTGGTGAAGAGAGAAGACGCCAGGCCCACCTCGCCATCATCCTGTTGAGCAGACTCGTGTCTCCATTCCTTCCCTACGAGGACAGCCCCTGCCCTTCTCTCTGATCTCCTGGTGGTCAGGAGGGATCTTGGCTGCAAAAAAGACCATAGAAACTGGAGAGTGGCTGGGACGTAGACCTCCCAGGGAACCCTGAGCCACTTCTCCCAGAACACGTGAGGCCCTTAGAGAACCAGGAAAGCCCTCAGGTGCCCAAACTCAAGAGAAGCCTCTAGTCCCTGCATTCTGAAACCATTTTACAGCTGTCGAAAGATCAAGGAGAGCTCAGACTATGCTAGGCTGGCTGCTATACCCCTGGCACTTAATAGCCTCTCAGTGAAGAATAGATGTGATAGTGATTATTCTTCAAGAATCAAAGAGAAATTGCTGGATTCCTGATACATCAGGGATTATTCTCAGGCCACTGGGGGCTGTGAGCTGGGGATCTAGAGAGGAGTGAAGGGCACTGCTTTCCTCCCCGATGAGAATCTTCTCAGGTGAGGGCCATCAGACACGGTCCATGGTCTGCCATCACCAGGAACCCAGTCTCCTCTCCAAAGCCCCTGCTAGCATTCGGTAGTACATCCTTCACCCAGGCCCCTTACCTGGGTCACCCCTCTTCCTCCTGCTCCCCTATGCTTTGTCTCTTCTCAGTAAGTGTTGAAGGCTTTCTTGCTAAACGTGCCATGAATACCCTCCTGCCTCTACATCTCAGAGGAGCCCTGGTGGCCAGTTGCTAAGTGCTTGGCTGCTAACCAGAGGGTTGGTGGGCAGTTTGAACCCACCAGCCACCCTGTGGGAGAAAGATGTGGCAATCTGCTTCCATAAAAATCTCAGCCTTGAAACCCTCTGGGCCGGTTCTGTTTTCACTATGTTCTACTCATAGGGTCACTGTGAATTAGAGTCAGCTCAACAGCAGTGGATTTGGTTTTTGGTTTTCTTCATCTCCAGAGCTCAGACCCAAGACAGGCATCTTTGCATCTCACCTGGACCCTTGACCTTTGACCCTTGACCTGGTCTCCCCGCAAGATTCTGACCCTTCTCTGATGGTCTGCCTTCCGCTACAGGTGGGCATCTGCTGCAGCCCACAGCAGTACAGGCATACAACTGTGCTACCCTCCAGCCTTGGCCTGGGCCACCCCTCCCCTCCCTCTTCTCCTCGCCTGATCAGCATCCCCTCATCCTTTACATCTTAGCATCAGCATTCTCCTCTAGAAATGTCCTCACTCCTCCTTCCCCATTCTGACATCATTGTCCTCCTTGGGGCTCTAAAGGAGCCTGGGGAGAGCCTTGTGCCCCTGCAAGGACTTCCCTGGACATTGTTGTTTCCTTTTATGGATCTGTCTCCCTCCCTGGAACTTGTCCCCTGTTTGTACCCCTGGTCTAACGTAGGGCTCACTCCATAAATTTCAGCACAGTGAAGCAGGAACACAAAAGAAGGGAGGAAGTGACCTTTGAGCTGCCTTCAAAAATGAGGGTTTCAGATGGAGGCACGTAACCAGCAGTGGGCTCAGGTTCTGGAACTGCCTAGATGACAGTCATGGCTCTGTTCTGTCCTCATCTGCTAACTTTGAACAGCCCTCTGAACCTCCGTCTCTCCAGTGGGAATCATAACCTCATCTTACTATTGCATGGTTGGAAGGAGACTGCATGTCAGGCCCTGAGCACGATGCTCAGACTCGAAGTGGAGGCTCTGAGGTGTTGGAAACTCCGCCTACATAAAGGCCCAGGCACGGCTACACACACAAGCAGCACCAGTGGTTGAGTTCTGGGGACAGTGGGCCAACAGTGAGACAGGCAGTGGAGGCTGAACACCAGATTGCAGAGAGTCTCAGTGTGGTCAGTGACCCACCTGGATGCTCAGGCAGCCACTGGGGTCTGTGCCTGGAGGCCCAGCATGGCAAGACGCTCAAGCACTTTGGTCCCATGTGCCTGGGCCCAGCCCAAGAGATGCTGACTGGATAGAATATGCTGCAGTGGCCGAGGGCCTGGGCCCTGGAGGCAGACGGCAGACGGCCTGGGTTGGAACCTCTGCTCTACCTTACCCTGAGTGGACCTGTAAAGTTGGGGGAGGGAGGTGGTTAACATTGCTTGGTCTCAGTGTCCTCATCTATAAAAGGAAATGGTGATAGGCCTCCCTGACTAGGGTTGTAATGAAGACCAGGTGAACTGGTGTCAATTAGACTAACTCAATTAGAGTGTAACTGCCATAGGTTACTGTCATAATCCAGGTGGTTTGGGTGGGGGCTGAGACATTTTATAAAGTTTATCCATGCGTTCACTTATTCACCACATGCTTATTGAGCTGTACTGTGTTCTAAGTGCTGGGAGTACATCAGTGAGCAGGACAGATGGACACATTCCTCCCAAGGAGGGTGTATTGGGGGTGGGCAGACACTGATCAGGTAACAAAAATAAATCTTTACAAACTGGGATGAGAGGTGGGGAAGGGGCAATTCAGAGATCTAAGAGGGCATGAAACGGGAGGCCTGTCTAGGGGTCAAGGAAGGCTCTCTGGAAGGAACCATCCTTGAGCTGAGTCCTGAAGGACAGGAGGGGTTAAGAACCTCTGCTCTGGGAGCCTACTGGGCCAGGTGGCTGCTTCCTGGGTGCAGCTCCCCAGCCTGGCCCCTCTTCCTTCTAGACAGCAACGCTGTATCCTGGGGTGGTGTTTGGCATCTGCTTTGTGTTAAATTGCTTCATTTGGGGAAAGCACTCGTCAGGAGCGGTAAGTGCCCTTCCCCCACCCCCAGCAAGGGAGTCAGCTGTGCTCATCCCCACTTCCCCAGGGCACTTCCTGCTGCTCCCCTTCCCTTTTCTGAGTCCCCAAAGGTCTGTTCCCAGCCCCTAGGGGCTGCAGGCTGCCTGGGGTTTCCCCATCCCTGCCTATCCATCTGCCCCTGCCCTGGTCCTGGCCTTCCTGTGGGCTCTTCCAGACAGCTGGCCAAAGCTCACTTCTCTAAAGGAGGGTTTCCACAGTCCAGGGCCCAACTGGGGAATTTCCCTCTGTTCTCAGTCAAAGGAGAGTGGCCTGGTGTGAGTGTATTAGATGATATTTCCTGTGTTCTGTACCTGCGTTCCTTCTGTCTTGCCGTTTTCCCTCTAATTATGAGCTACACACTCTGTAGAAATTTTGGAAAAGTACAGCAAAGTTAAAGAAGAAGATGAAATAACATGTATCCAACCACCCAGGGATAAATACTGGTCAATTACTATGTGCTCTTCCCATCTTTTTCCTCTTTTATAGATGGATTTAAAATGGAGTTAGGAATTTTAAAGGATAAAATAACACTTATATGATACTTGATTTGTAATAAGGACTGTTCTAAACATGTTACTTATACTCATTTCCGCCCTTTTCACACAATTCTTGTGGAAACATACTACAGAAGAGGATAAAGACAAAAATGAAGAAGCTGTCCTAATCTCCCCACATCCCACCTGAGGAAGTACTATATTCCCTTTTTGTCATGGCCTTTTCCAAGCATATAGCCATGTAAATAGTGGAGTGTTTTTATAAAAATGAGATCCATATATATATATATATATATGTATGTATGTATGTATATATTTAACAGAACAAGGGTTTATTTCTCCCACTCATTAATTTCTGGGAGCTTTGGTGTGAAGTGCTGTGTAACTGGAGAAAGACCAGGCATCATCCTTATCTCGGTGGCCATCTTTAATGCCACCTCTATAGAGATCTCATTGCAGTTATTGCAGGCATCAGTCACTTGGCTGATCTCCCCAGTGTACCCTGTTTTCCTGGGAACGTTAGGAGCCTCAAAATCTGTGGGATAAAGCACTAAGCACCCCAGATGTCAAGAAAGTAGAAGTAACATCTGTGGGAGCTTTATTTCAGCACTGTTTCCTTCCTTCCCCTCCCACTGTGGGAGCTTCTTTAATACGTAGACAACTCTCTTAAGGTTGTGATACCAATATAGTGCAGGCTAGCCAGGAAAAGAGTCCCACTCAGGAATGATAAGCCTCTTATACATACAGTTTTAGAACCTTTTTTTTTTTTTTCTTTAGTTATTAAGCGATTGTGTTTTATTTTAATGGAATTGAGAACATGTTATTTATGTAATTTTTTTTTCTTTTTCCTTTACATTTGATTTCCCTTCCTCTCTCCTTCCTGTTCTCAGTCCCTTTCTTCCCTAGTCTTCTCCCACTTTCTCCCTGTATGACAAGCTCCTTTAGGATGCCATGGTTCCTTCTTTACTGGGAGCCCAAATGACCCCTGATCTACTCCCCGCTTCTCCCCCAGGACTGGAACAGCCCCATGAGGCTCTGGCCTTGAGCACAGGAACCCTCTAAGGGGCTCTGCCTGCAGGACTTTCTTCACCATGGTGGCCCTCTTGTGTCTGGAGCCCCTCCTTAGCCTGCCCAGGGCCTTGTGGGGATTTCATGAACACTGTGTCCACAGGTGCCCTTTCCCACCATGGTAGCCCTGCTGTGCATGTGGTTTGGGATCTCGCTGCCCCTTGTCTACCTGGGCTACTATTTCGGCTTCCGCAAGCAGCCATACGACAACCCTGTGCGCACCAACCAGATCCCCCGGCAGATCCCTGAGCAGCGGTGGTACATGAACCGGTTTGTGGGGTGAGTTACTGGGCAGGGGCCCCCAGCGTGGGCCAGGCCAACAGTGCCTGGCCATCTTCCCTGGAGGACGTGGACGAGGGTGCCCTCCCCGCCAGGGGTGCTATGACCCGTGTTCCTGCAGCTCCCACCAGCTCTAGTAGACTTCATGAAAGTGTAGCTTCCCCTCCAAGCTAAAAATGACTGGCTTGTAGCCAGACTTGGCATCAGCCTGGGAACTGGGATAGGGAAGGGGAACAATGGAAGGGGGTGGCAAGAAAGGTTAAGACCATCACTTAGACCTCAGGCAAGTTACTCAGTTCTTTGCACCTCAGTTTCCCCATCTATAAAATGGGGAGGAGAATGGTCCCCACCCTTCCTCCCTCTCAATGGGTTATAATGGTGCAAGAGCATGCCAAGAGAGGTCCTGCCAGGCCTGTCTAAGCACTGCCTCATGCTGTGGAGGGAAGCAGGGGCTTCTAGATGGCTTGGCTCTCCCAACACTGTTAATTGCCCCCTTCTGCCACAGCATTCTCATGGCGGGGATCCTGCCCTTTGGCGCCATGTTCATCGAGCTGTTCTTCATTTTCAGTGTAAGTACTGTTGCCTGACCCCCTTTTTCTATCCCACCACACCAGTATGCACACACATGCCACGTGCGTGCGCATGCACACACACACATACAGACACACCCTTCACCTACTCCATCCTGGTCTCCACGTAGGTGTTCTGCCTTTTACTGCCCTTGAGGTTTCAGAGCCCCCATCTTCACCCTGAAAAGGGGTAACAGCCCTGGCTCTCAGGATAGCAATGAAGGGTTAGATGAGATGTGAGAGACATACAGAAGTCCTGGGGAAACGCAGGGCATGATCCCTAACCCCGGGGTCGTTGTGCGGCTGAAGTGAGGTCATGTTTGTGAAGGGCACTGTGCTTGGCATGCAGGAAATGCTTCCTCAACAGGAGCTGCTACGATGGTTACTCCTGTCCCAAGAGGGGCCTGGTAGCCAAGGTGAGAGTCTGCAGTAGGGCTCCCTAGAGTCATGCAAGTCTGGCTGAGCACAGATAGGTCCTTGCAGCAGGTTTGTACTGGAAAAGTATCCACCTACCCAGTCCTGCCTAGGCAGAGGGTCAGAGGCTAGGTAGGGTCCTTGGGGCCTGTATGTTGTCCCTGGGAGGCCTCCTCCATTCTGTGTGCATGACATTGCATCGCCCAGCCTTCCTGTGCCTCAGCCCTAAAAGGCCAAGCTTCCCTTAGGGTCACATGTAGAGATGTATAAGGTACATAGCACAGGTCCTGGCCAGCTGCTGAGTTCAGGCTCAGCCATGCCCCAGCCCCTCCCGAAAACTGGCCTGGCTCTCACCTTCTGCTCCAGGGAGGAGGGCTAGCTAGACACATGCCCGGCCACAGGCCCCAATGGTGTCATGCAAGTGTCCATGCCTATCCTGGTGGCAGGCGTACGCTAGTCCTCAAGTTGCTGTGGGATGGCACCCCTGAGAGCAGGCAGGGTGTGCCAGGGCCACTGTGGAGGCAGGCCAGCTGACGGGCAGCTGCGGTGTGTCCACAGGCTATTTGGGAGAATCAGTTCTATTACCTCTTTGGCTTCCTGTTCCTGGTCTTCATCATCCTGGTGGTGTCCTGTTCCCAAATCAGCATTGTCATGGTTTACTTCCAGCTGTGTGCAGAGGTGAGAGGAATGGGGCCAGGAGGTGGGAGAGAGAGGCTGGGGTGGAATGGGTTAATGAAGTTGTACAGTGAGGCTAATCTAAGTTTCCAGTATGGGCTCCCCCTTTCCTGGTTCTTAGGTCTTAAATAAGTACGTGACTTCACCTCTCCAGGCCCCCATTTAGACTGGAGTTCATGATTCCGACCTTCCAACATAGTTGTCAGAACTTCAGGGAGAGTGGGCTCAGCAGGATTGAGTCTACTACAGAAGGAGGTTTTCTGGTAGGCTTGTGCAGATTGGGTGACTCCTCCCCTGGGCACTAGCTCTTGGCAGGGTGGGTAATCGAGGGCTCTGCAACAAGTGGCTTGCCTCCAAGTTCTGGCTCCTCCACTTAGTGGTCTGGATCTTGGACAAGTTGCTTAAGTTCCCTGTGCCTTCTGTTCCTCTAGTAAGATGGGTAGTGACAGGACCTACCCGAGAGGGCCAATGCAAGGATTAAGTGAGCTGATTCTGCATTGCATGTAGAGAGGTGCCTGGCACATGGTGAGCGTTTGCAGAGAACGCAAGTGGTTGTTTTCACTGTTGTCGATTTTTTTAAATCGAGGTATCATTTATAAACACCCAAGTTCACTCCTCGTACAGTCTAGTGAATGCTTAGAAATATATACAATCGTGTAACCACCAGCACAGTTAAAATAGAAAGCATTTCTATTTCCCCAAGCGTCCTGTTCTTACCCAGAGTCTTTAGCCCCTCAGGCAGCTGTGAAGCTTGGCGGGAAGGCTGCTTGGGGACAGTGGTAACCCTTCCTGTTTCCTTCTCAGGATTACCGATGGTGGTGGAGGAATTTCCTAGTCTCTGGGGGATCTGCTTTCTACGTCCTGGTCTATGCCATCTTTTATTTTGTTAACAAGGTACTGCCCTCCTTGAGGGAGCCCCTTAGCCCTGTCGAGGCAGGGGGTGCAGAGAAGGGCGCTGGGGGGTGCGGGTAGGGGGAAAGCCAGGTATCTGAATCTTTTCCTATCAAGAGAGGGGAGGAACAAAGCCATTTAGAACTGCTTCTGCTCTGGAAATGGGCATCTTTTTAGGAAGGAGAGAATCTATGTTCCAGGACCCAGTTGTGTATGTTTGGGAGACAGAAGCCTTCAGGATTAATGAACATACTGAGTGGCAAAACCTCTGTGATGCAGCCAAAGCAGTACTTAAAGGAACATGCCACACAACAATGAGTGCATTTATTAGGAAATGAGAGTGTCTAATAATACAGTTTGCACCTCAAGAAGCTAGAAAAGAGGAACAATAAAATGAAAGCCTAAAGGAAGCTGATGAGAGGAGTTAAAGATGAAAGGAGAAAATGCTAAAAGAGTGTTTAGATCCTAAATTCAGGTCCTCAGGCTTTCTCTCTCTGGAGGCTTCTCCATTCAAGTACTTCAGTCCTGTAGGGTAAGGAGAAGATGTGAAGGGCTTCACCTGTGTCTTCGAGGCCTTCATAGGTAAAGTGTGGGCTAGTAAGCAGCTGGGCTTATCTGACAGAGCTCATTGCCCCCCACCTCTAGGGTGGCATGAGTATGAATCCAGACGGGTCTGCACAATTTTGATTGGTTCGTGAATGACGCATAGACCAGATGGGCCATGGAGGGGAGTTTAGGGTAACTGGTGGGTTCCTCTCCTCTGAGGCTAACACTGAAAAATTGATCCCACCCTCTGGGCTTTGGGCCTCCAAAGCCAAAAAGCAAGTAGTCCCCTGTTTGCAACCAGAGTTTAGTCCCAAAATAAACCCTATAGGTCAGTTACTTGAAGCTTAGAATGCCCTTTCCCAAAAAAGGTGAGCCTGGAAAGGATTTCAGGATCATTTAGTTCAGTGTTCCACTCCTGTTTCTAGGTGATCCTGCCCCTCCCCTCCAGCAGTCCCAACAAGGATCAGAAAACACAGGGGTCAGCAAGCTGTGGTCTGTGGCCAGCGGTCCTGCTCCTGGACATAAAGTTTTATCGGAACACAGCCGTGCTCATCTGTTTACCTGTCGTCTGTGGCTGCTTTTACACTGCAGCAGCAGAGGCGAACAGTAGTATCAGAGGCCATGTGGTCTTCAAAACCTGGGCCACTCATATAATCTGGCACTTTATTCGAAAATGTTTGTCAACTTGCGATCTAGCATTTCCAGTGACAGAGAGGACATTTCCTCCTGACACTTGCTCTCTCTCTGGACAGCTCCTATCATTATCAAGGTCTTCCATGATCCACACTGAAATCTGCTTCCCTGTAACTTCTGTCTTCAGGCCCTAGTCGTATCCCCAGGCTCATCCAGACCAAATGAATGCCCCTCATCTGCAGCTCATGTGAATCAGAGCTCAGTGAGTGGCGAAGTGCACGTGTCCACCCGTGAGCCCTGGCACAGAGCCCATGGGCCTGCTGTGCTGTCACGTCACTGGCACCAGAGCACCAGAGGAGCCCCATTTGTCCCAGCAGACACCACAGTAACAGATCCTAGGTCCTTTCCCAGACTCTAAACTTGGCCCCGTTATAAAGGAGTCTAAAAGGTGCCGAGATAAAAATCGGTGTGAGATGTTAATGGAAGCGACTGAAGCATTCTCTGGAGGAGAGGGATGTAGGCTGGGGCAGGCTGCTGGTGGTTGCTGGTCCTCCAGCTTGGGCTACCCCGACCCCTGACTGCTGCTTTAGCCATCCAGGAGTCTGCTCCTCAGGGGACGACAGAGGGGTCCACTGGGCCAGGAGTGGCCATAGCTGTGGCCGATCCTGCCTGTGGCATTCCAGCTTGTCTCCAAGGCTTCCCTAGGAAGACTCCCCCTACTGCCAGAAGAAATGGCCATTGGGCCTTGGACTGATAGCCCTCTAGCCCCAGGTTCAAATCCCAGCGTCCTGTACTTCCTAGCTGTGTAGCTGTGGGTGGGGGTTAACCCCTTTGTGCCCTGTCCGTCAAACGGAAGCAATAAGGTGATGATGAGCACACGAGGTGATCCTGGTATGTGTGGAGGGTAGTCATGGCTGTGGGCCTCGCTAGCATCTCACCGCAGCCCCGGAGAAGCCCTTCCCCTGCTGGGCCTCGGTTCCGCCCCTGCTGGGCCTCGGTTCCGCCACTGCATCAGTGGGGAGGGGCCCCACAGTCTGCCATGCTCAGCTGCCACTAAGCATCCACCCCTCTGTTCTTCTCGCCCGCCCCACCCGTACCCCAGCTGGACATCGTTGAGTTCATCCCCTCCCTCCTCTACTTTGGCTACACGGCTCTCATGGTCCTGTCCTTCTGGCTCCTGACGGGCACCATAGGCTTCTACGCCGCCTACATGTTTGTCCGCAAGATCTACGCCGCCGTGAAGATAGACTGACTGGTTGGGGTGGACCATGGCCAGGCCCACTCTGTCCTTGGACAGCAAAGCCACCCTGCGTGGGGACCTGCAGGCACGGAAAATAAAATAACTCCTGCTTGTTTGGAATGTAACGCCTGGCACGGTGTTCCTGGATCCTGGGGCTGCGTGGGGGGCGGGAAGACCTGTGTGTAAATCTTGCATTTTCATCATCTTATGCCAGTTCTGTGGGGGATGAGTTTTTCATGGGTTGTTTGTTCAGTGCTGAGAAAGTTCCTTCCCGCAGGAACTCTCTGACTTGTTTATTCAGGTTTATTTTTGATTTGAGGTTGTTTTGTTTTTTTTCCTTAATTTTTTAACAAATGGATCCAGGATGGATAAATCCACCAAGATACTGGGTTTTGGTCACTGTCCCCACCTCAGTTCCTCAGGGCTGTTGGCCTTCCCGCAACTACCTGGAAGAGGAGGCACCGGGCCTTCGGGGGCTTCAGTGAGGTTTCTGAGCCTCTCACTGCTTGTCTTCACCTTTGATGCCACGACAGAGCACAGCTCTAGCCTGGACCTGCATCCTCAGTGCCAGTCAGCCTCAGCCAGCCCCGTTTCCTCCCTCTGTCCCCGCCCCAGCCTCCTCCCATGGCTGCCCAAGGCAGAAGTGTCAGTCAGCCAGGGCAGCCTTTCACCAGGAGCAAGCTCAAGTCTTGATTCCTTCAAAGAAACCTCCTGGAGGTACTTGGTGCTGAGATCCTGGGACAGCAGGAGTCACCGAGTTCAGAGCAGCAGTTTGCTGAACCAGCAAGGAGGAAGAGAAGAGGCTTGCAGTGAACCGGCCACAGCATTGTGCCAAGAAACCCTGGACCTGGGGCCAAGTATTTCCAGGGCCTGGCGCCCACGTCTACGTCTGGGAAGGGGGCAGCCAAGGTCCCCAGCCCCCTGTGCAGGAGGTTGCTGCTCTTTCCAAGTGTGCTGGGGACGGACCCCTTGTGCCCCCCGCCCAGGCAGAGCAAGGAGGCCCTGCCATCTCAGGTCCCTCCTTCCGGTGACTGGGCAGAGGCACTCTCTCCCTGGCATCCCAAGCCTCAGTGTCCACACTCAGCTCTTTTAGCCAGACCCTTCCCCTCCGCCCCTGTCTGAATTCGGGCCTCCTCTTTTTGGGGACTTCCAGAAAACTGCTTGTGAGAAGGAAGATGGAAGGTAAGTTCTGTCGTTCCTTCCCCGGTTCCTAGGAGTGAGTGTTCACACACCCGCTCTCCCCATGCTAGGGGAGAGAGCTGCCGCAGCTGCCCCAGCTCTTCTGCAAACCCCACTCTTCCTGACCCCTGCCTGCCCCGTTCATGTCAAAATCATTTGCTCTTAAGTTGTAAAAGACCAAACCCACTCTGGGATTCAAATTTAAGTCACAGCCATTCACTCTTGTGCCAGCCCCCGTGGGACTCCCACCACAGGACAAAGCTCAGGATGCTGGTTAAGCTAAGAACAGCCCTCCCCCAAGATGCTCCCAGCAGCCCTCACCAGCTCCACCAGTCACACCAGTGGACTTCTCAATCTTGCCTCCCAGCGAGCGCACAGTGCCAAGCGGCATCCACCGAGAATCAGGTTGGAGAAAAGAGAACCCCAGCAGTAGCGAATGATACTGGAGTCTTTCTGTTCATTCAGATCTTGGATTTCTTTTTCCCCCTAAGAGATTGTTTGGGGGGGCAGTGGGGACATGGACTCCTCATAAAGGGTCAGATGTCATCGATTTCTCTGACTTTTTAAATCATTATCATTATTTTTTAATTAAAACAATGCCTGTATGCCTTTTTGGTCCAGTTGTAAATAAATGCGCCATCATCCTGTTGTTATGTGTCCTGAATCTTATGTAGGGGTTGTGGAGTCCAAGGTGAGACACTTCCCCAGATGGGTTGGGTTGAGCGATTGCCCTCAAAGCTCAGTCTCATGTCAGACTTGCCAGCGCTCCGGCCACTGCTATTCCCTCTCCTGGTCCATGTCCACAGCCTCTCCCATCTGCTCGGCCCCTCCATGTTATATTGCAGAAATCTGCCATTGAGCTCCCACAGGCAGGAAATGGCAATTGAGTGTGAGCTTTGGTGGCAGTAAGACCTGGTATTGTGTATTTTATTGCCAAGTCAGTTCACCTCTTTTGTAGGACTCCTTCACTTGCGTGTGGCAGATACAGATCACATGTGATTAAACCTCAGAGACTTGATCTAGTTCATGAGTCTTCGAAGACGGGGCATTTGACTCCACGTGCTCAAAGGGAGCACGTCTCAGCTTTCTTCTCTGTCCGCCGTGCTTCCCTCTGCCCCACACCATTGTCCCCAGTCTCTGTGGGGGAGGTGGGCAGGGTATGGGAAGAGTGCTGTAGGCTTACATCGTCCAGTTTGGTAAACCCAGAGGGAAAACCATGTCTCCCTGCCTACTTGGTTGTAGTCAATATATATTTATTCAAATGAGATAGGTCCTAGGAAAGGCCTTGGATTGGCCCAGCTTGGGTTACTGTTTGCACATCTTAGTCCAGTCACATATCCAGGGGGATGGAGTATGATTATGGCCCAGGCCTGAGCTGCATACCAGAGCTGCTGGATACTACAAATTCCAGACCCACCAGAATCACCTGGAATGGTGATGAGGGAAGAACGGTTTCCCAGGGTGAGGGATGTGAAGCAAATGGAAAGAACAGTTGCCTGTTACACCCTCCAACCTCAGCTTCCTCATCTGCAGTGGAAAATGGTGCTGGTTACCATTCATGGACTATTCTGTGTTCCAGGCACTGTTCCATGTATTAGCCTATTTAATCTTGGTTCTGTATTAGCCCTCTTTTACAGAGGAGGTAACTGAGGTATCAAGTAGTTGTAATCTACTGACGGGAGTCCCGTAGCAAGTGAGTGATGGAGGAGTATTTGAGGCAGCCACACTCCAGAACCTGTCTTTCTAACCAGTATGTTACATCTGCCTTTTAATAGCTTTATTGAGGTATAATTGACACAAAACAACTACAGGTAGTCCCTGGGTTACTGTGAACCAGGCTACTCTCCAACGTGTGCTAGTGGTGGACCCCCTTTTCCCCCAAGCCCAGGCCCTATTTTGCAACGTGCATCAAAATATTATTACTGTGTTATGTTAAAGATGTTGCAGCGTATCTAGAAGTGTTTCTTTAATGTTTTTGTTGTTGTTGTTGTTGTTGTTCATTGAAAGGTACATTATATATATTAAGACAGACAGTTGACCAACTGACTTCAGATAGGAACTATACCTAACTCTTCTGACTTAGGTACAAATTCAACTTAAAGACAGACTTAGGACCAGAGCTCATTTGTAATCTGGGGACTGCCTCTACAAAATGTGATAAGTTGTAACATACATGAAATGACCACAATGAAATTGCAAACATATCCATCAACCCAAATGTTCCCTCATGCTTTCCATCCCCAAGAAGCCGCTATACTCCTTCCCGTTACTATAGTTGGCATTTCCTAGAGTTGTATAAAATCATCCTGTATGTATGTTGTTTTCCTTGGCTTCTTCCATTCAACATCATTACTTTAATGTTTATCCATGTTGTTAAATGTATCAGTAGATCATTCATTTTTTTTTTTTAATTTCTGAGTATTATTCATTGTATGGCTATACCACAATTTGTATATCCATTCATCTGTTGACCAACATTTGGGGGATCTGCAGTTTTCAACTATTACAAATAAAAGCTACTGTGAACATTCATATACAAGTCTTCATGTGGACATATATTTGTTTTTCTCTTGGAAAATACTTAGCAGTGAAATGCCTGGGTCGTAAGCTAGGTGTGTGTTGAACTGCCAAGCCCTTTCTGAGGTGGTTCTACCATTTTACATGTCCATCAGCAGTATATGAGAATCCCGTTTCCTCCACGTGCTTATACTTGGTATGGTTAGTTGTCTTCATTTTAGCCATTCTAACAGGTACAAAGTGGTATCATTGTGATTTTAATTGGCCTCTCCTAAAGAAAGGTGATATCATGTTGTCAGAAGGGACCATTTCCTGGAGAAGGAGAGCATGCTTGGTAAAGTGGAGGGTTAGCAAAAAAAAAAAAAAAAGGCGGGGGGGGGGAGACCTTCAGTGAGATGGATTGGCTGCTGAGTGGCTGCAACAGTGGGCTCAGGTGTAGCAAGGATTGGGGGGCCGGCACAGGACCGGGCAGTGTTTCATTCTGTTGTACATGGGGTCACTGAGTCGGAGCCCATTCGGTGGCACCCAACAAGCACCACCACCACAACGAAAAATACTGAGCGTCTTTTCATGTGGTTATTGACTGTCCACATCTCTTCTGTGGTAAAGTGTCTGTTCAAACCTTTTGCCCATTTTTGATTGGGTGGTTTGATTTCTTTCTGTTGAGTTTTGAGAGTTCTTTGATAGATACATGTATTATCGAAATACTATTCCCGTCCGTGGTGTGTGTTTGCATTCTCTTAACAGTGGCTTGTGAATAACAAAAGTTTTAAATGTTGATGAAGTCTAGTTTATTTACTCTTCAGCAATTTATTCCTTTTTGGTATCCTATCTAAGACAACTTTGTCTAACGTAAGATCACAATGATTTTTCCTGTGTTTTCTTTTAGAATTTTTATAGCTCTAGTTTTTACATTGAGGTCTATGATCCATTTTGGAGGAATTTTAATATATCATGCGAGATGTGGTTTCACGCTCATTTTTTCATGTGTGGAAGTCCAGTGGCTCTTGTACTGTTTGTTGAGGAGGCTGTCCTTCCTCCTTTGCCTTGGTGCCTTTCATGAAAAAAAGTCTATAAATGTGTGGATTTACTTCTGGAATTTCCATTCTGTTCCATTTATTTGTCTATTTTTATGCCAGTACCACACTGTTGGCTCCCTTTGTCAGCAGACAGCTAAGGGTGCAACCACTAGCCGAAGGGTTTGCAGTTTGAACCTCCCAGAGGTGCCTGGGAAGCCAGGCCTGGTGATGTGCCTCTGAAAGGTCACAACCCTGAAAACCCTGTGGAGGACGGTTCTGTTCTGCACACGGGGCTGCCGGGAGTCAGAGTGGATGCCGACAGCAATGGCTTTGGTCTCAGGAGGGCAGCAGTGAACAAAACAGACACACCCCTGCTCTCATGGGCGCTCTCAGTGCAGCAGGAGAGAGCTCGAATCACCAGGCTCTTACCACGGTGTGGCCTCACCGCGGGATGAGGGATCAGGGGGAGCCAAAGGGATCAGGGGGAGCCAGGGGCAGAGAAGAGGTAGCACCTGAACTGCATCTTGAAGGATGGGCAAGAGTTAGGGAAAGAGGCAGGGAGAACATTCTCAGGATGGAGAAGAGCAATGCGGGCAAAGACCAGGAGGTGTGAACAGGAGGGCTGGAGGCGTGTGCGGCAGGGAGGCC